ACTTCAATTCCATGCTGGTTGACAATAAAACCAAGCAATTTCCTAGTCCGGACACCGAACGTACACTTAGCAGGATTTAGGCGCAATCTAAACTTCCTCAAGCGTTCAAACAGTTTCTTCAGATGTTCTATATTGAAATTTTGGTAGCAGATATCAGATGTCCCGAGAGATGTCGAGACACTTGATCTCTGCTTAAAACACAATGACAATAAAGAGCATAAAACAAATTGCAGAAAGTAAACAAATATACAGAATTGTTAACCCAGTTCGGTGAACAACAACACTTATGTTTGGGGGCTTCTAAACCATGAATGAAATCCACTAGATAGTATTAATTCTAAGCTAAATAATCTTCGATTTACAACTTATCGCTTAATCACTACCCGTGCTTAATTTCTACCTAAGAGTCTTCTTAGGTATGAGACCTTTCTCAATTCCCTTTCAATCATAGCAGTGATTGAAATTACAACTCAATGAAAAATGTCCAACTCTAGTATCAACACAATACAAGAGAGGCTCACAAAGTACAAACCCTAGTACACACTAAGCAACCGTATAAATTTAGCATAATTCTTAAGTTAAATCTATCTTATTTATAACCATAAAGTATATTAGATTCGGGCTTCGAAAACGCAACAATTATGTTCCACAAAACCTGCAACTAATTCTCCTTTAGAATAGTTTCTTTAATCCTAAGTTTTCTAAAGTGTCTCCACACTTAGAAACAACGTCTTCAAATTATAATCAGAATCTTTGATTCCTCAATCTTGGACGCCACCTTGGAAAAACAAATAATCTCAGAATAATCTGACAGTTGGAATTAAAATAGCAGAATTAAAAACTGAAAAATAACATACAAAGATGTCGAATCATCATGATAGGACATCTTGTCTAACATCTTGATCTTCAGTTAGTTCTTCATCATGTTAAGACATCTTGTCCAACATCTTACTTACAAGTTAGTTTTACCAAAATTGATGTCAACCACAAAGGTTTGGACTCATCAATCTCCCTTTTTGGCAAATTTTGGCTAAAACTAACTAAATAACATTTGCAAGCAGAAGCACAAGTCAGAGGCCAAAAGTCAGAACATCAGCGCCAAAAGTCAGAACATCAGCGTCAAAAGTCAGAACATCAGCAGCGGAAAAACTTAAGGGAGACATTTGATTTGATAAGGTCAAGTCAAACTTTTCTTTCCCTTGGGTGAACTTACATAGGGTTTCATGTTAATGATTGACTTCCTTTTTCAGAGCGACACGAGTCTCATAAGTTTCTCTTGAATTTCTAATTCTAGTTATTTATGTTTTGAATGATTTATTGATTTCCTCAAGAGATCTTAAAGACTATTTAAGAAATAAGTTATGTTATCTATGTTTATCATTATCTTTAACTAACTGAGTACTCATTCTAAATAGTTGTTCATAAGGTGGTTTTGTTACGTAATCATTATCTACCTTGTAGGATGCCTTTAAGTAAATTTCATCTTCTTCGTTGGAAGGTTATTTTACGTTTCTTCTCAAGGTTGATGTCTTTCCTCCTTTTATTTTTTCTAAGATTCCACTTGAAGATGTTCTTCTTCGCCTCGTATGTTCATTTTCTCCTGCTTGATACTTGAAGAAACTCCATATATCATTTCAAGAGTATCCTACATTTCCTTTATGATTTTGCAACAATGTACATAAAAAAATTTACTATCATCGAAAGACATTGTTATAAAGCTCTTGGTTTTGAAATTTATCTCAAACTCTCTCTTTTCCTCTTTGGTTCAAATGGAATAAGGTTTATATACTACTTTTCCATTTACTTGGTAAGTAGGGATAAACAGATCATTGATTATGATTTTCCATAATTCATGATTTATACTTTGAATAAAAATTCTAAACCTAACTTTCCATATCAAATCTTCTACTACTTAAAGGTGGTGGTGTATATATAAAAGATCTCTTATTGGAATTCACTTTCCTCATGAGACAAATACTCCTTAAATAAGAGTTGACTCTGATGCCACTTGTTGGACATGTGACTTCACACGAAACAGGGGGAGTTACAGGTTTCAGAAAAAACATGAATTTGAAAAACTTTTATGATTAAAATTAGAGTTTGAAAACAGTTTTTTGATAAGTTAGAGAGTTATGCAGTGGAAAATAAATGTGTAGAAGGTAAAATGTGGAAATATAAAGAGTTTAAGGGAAAAGAGAAGGCACTGGAAGTTATAAAGATTCGATAAAAAAGGAGACCTAATTCTTTTCCAAAAATTATTTTTGAGAGTATCCAATAATTTTAAGAGCTTTTAGTAGGTTGAACTCTCGAACCCCTTTATACAAGAAAAAATGAAGTTTGTGGCTAACTTCCAACCAAACAACAAACACAACAGAGATGTAACACCCTAAACCCCGAAACTTATATAAATATAACTACTTGACTATTGAAGGTGTCACCAGCGATCACTAAATCAAAAGTCCTGCCGACACATTTGAATTTACGCAGCAGAATCAACATAATGATAACTTTCAAATTAACTTCGTCCATAAAGTATTAAACTTTTAAAATACCAAATCAACATTAACACAAAACATAACAAACGCCCATCCCCGATGTTACATGATCAGAGCATTAAAACCACTAAACTGCGATAACATATAAATAAACGAATAATGGCTCCAAAAAGCCACCTTCCACACACAACAAGTTTATTCATGATTATCTACAAGATGTCCATGGTGGATAACATAAAGTAAAGAGGTGAGAAACAACTTCAATATGAATAGTGTAAAGAATGCAAAGATAAAGAAATACAAACAACATATCATACATTCAATACGTAACAACATCACCATAATCTCACGCCAATCACGATGATATACAATTATATGCAATGAGACTCCCGACACAATGAGACACTTATGCATATGGTACCAATTCAACATTTGGTTCTCTCAGGAACCGGGTCCCCCCTTCTGAACTCATGAGTTCCCCTTATGAGTTCCAAGCCCCCCTTCTGAGCTTGGGATAAGCCACTAGTCCCTTATTCTAAAATAGCAAACATGCCTATTTTAACAACACGCCACAATGATGCATGTCCCTACAAATCAATGCAACAACAATAATAATGCTTACGACCCCTTTTCTGACCATAAATAACATGCATTAACAAATAACAGTAACCCTCTTTCTGAATTACTATCTACCAATAATAATAACAATGTACACCGACACATAATTAAACACCATATGATCATGTATTTTCAACAACAATACTAGTCATATTTATATCACATAACATAAACATATGAGTAAATCAATTATCATTCAATAACAATAATTTTACAAAAATTAATTAAATTAATAATAATTAATTAACCACCTTAACATAATCAAACTGTCAGTGTCTTATAGATCATACAAATTAATAATGCATTATAGACAATACATATGTACTTAGAGTATTGTAGCTATTAGATTTTACATTCTTACAAGTAATTTACATATTTTGTGTATTCAGATTAAATAATCTAGAGGAATAAAACACAATTTGATTCTTTAATATACGAGCATAAATTTCTCAATCAAATGTGTAATTTACACATTATTTTTATTTGAATTAATTAATTCGAATGTATAAAACACATCAATTTAATCTACAAGATACATGACTAAAACATAAAATATATTATAATTGAAAACTAAAAATACTTTCAAAATAAAACATACATTCAAAATAATTAAAATAATTAAAAATTAAAAATATCTTATTCAAGATAACTATAAAATATCAAGTTGAAACACACTTGAACCCCTCTAGTATTGTTCACACATGTATCACTTTCTTTCTGTTAGTTCTAATAAGACCCACAAACAATTTAACCAAATAATACTAATATGGAGAAAAAACAATACGAACATAAAAGAGAAAGAAAACGAATACTCACTTATAACTTCACGACTTGCGAACATTTTTTGATCGTAAATGTTCTTAATGAAAACTCTAGAATTTGAAATTTTATGTAATATATTGTCATCGATGAGAACTCAATCCAATTTAACCTAAAAGTTAGTTCGATTGATATTTCAATAAAATATACTGGTATCAAAGAGAATCCCAACATGTCATAGCTAAATTGTTAGCTTGACAAAGATTTCAATAGAATATAATGTTATTGAAGAGAATTCAGGCTTATACCATAAAAGGTAATTCAATGGATATTTCAATAAAATATAATGTCATCAAAGAGAATCCCAATCCGCCATAACCAAATTGTTAACTTGACAGATTTCTATTAACCATGATATTATCTAAGAGAATTCAACCTTGAATATTTCAGTAAAAACATAATGTCACCTAAGAGAATCCCAATCCGCCATAACCAAATTGTTAACTTGACAGATTTCTATTGACCATGATATTATCGGAGAGAATTCAACCTTGAATATTTCAGTAAAAACATAATGTCACCTAAGAGAATCTCAATCCGCCATAACCAAATTGTGAATTCGATAGAGATTTCAATAGAATATAATGCTACCAAAAAGATAACAACTTCATCGTAAAAAAAAGTCGATCTAAAATATCCATAGTACATAATGTAATAATATAATCGGAAAGAATCCAAACCCAGATGAAAACACCTTTGACACAAAATCTAGCTAACTCTCCACTTTGAACATTCAAAACTAACCCCATCTCTTATCCTCACACGTTAGGCCCACTTCCCCATTAAACCATCTAGATCAACAAAAAAATCAAAAGCAAACATCCAAGCGGCGCGTTAATCCAATCCCATAATTAACGCGTGAAGCTCACAACTCAACTACTGCCAACATAAACAAGCATATTTTGGGTATATCTTGTTTTATATCATAAGAGAGAAGAGAGATTTTAGGGTCACTCTCGTTTTCTTTCTTCCACCGTCGTCGTTTCGGTCTCCGAATTCCTACCGCGCCGTCGCGAATTTCGAAGCTCTTCGTTGCGGCGATCGAAGATTCTTGTAGCAGTAACTAAGATGAAGGTTTTTGTGAAAACTCTTAAAGGAACTCACTTCGAAATCGAAGTGACGCCACAAGACACGGTTTTCCCCAAACTCAATTTTATTTCGTTGTGAATTTCCGTTTTCTTTTCGTTTCGTGAATTGTGTTTTGTTATTTGAATTATGGTTCATCTTATGCGCGAGATCACTGAATTTGATTGTTAATTAGGGTTTAGTGTTTTGCCTGTTTGGTTAATTATTGACTTTTGTTATCGATTTGAGTTTTTTGATAATTGAACTTGAAATTCAGCTTTTCTTAGTGATAATTTGGATGTGGTATATAGATTATGATGTGTAATTAATGATGCATCACTGGATTCTGACTTTGTGGAAATTTGTTCGTTAGGTTTTTATGGGAAATTTGTTGTTAGGTTTGGGATTATTGGCAAGATTTTGAATAAGTTCCACATTGACTGTTTACATCGTTACTTCACAGGAATATCAAACTTGATTATGCTATAAGCAAAATGTCTGCATAAGTATTAGGTCTAACTTATGTGCTATTCTTTTTTTTGGTCAAGTGGCCTAGTTGCGTGAAATTCACACTTTAAAAGTAAATAAGTGGGATGTAGCGGGTTCGAACCCGTGCCCGGCAGTCTGATGTCTCTACACAGCTACCAATTGAGCTGGTTTAACGGGACAACTTATGTGCTATTCTATCCATGAGAATTTCAATAATTGAGTGCATATGCTTATACTTATTTGTACCTGCATCAATAACTTGTCATTATTAATTAATGGACTGTCAAAAGTGACACTGTGCTCTCACACATTTGGGGCAGTGTTTTTTTCTGTCTCTTCCAAGGTTGCATGTTTTTATTAATTGTTGAATTTTCGTAAATACTTTAGCCTGCTCAAATGAGCAATTATACACTGCAAACAGTAAGTGTTTGATCTGTTAGTTATGCGGGTTTTGTGAATATCTTTCTGCCGCGTTGTGTATATTCTGAATCACAATTGTTATTTTGCTATATTCTGAATCATAATTGTTATCTTGCTATATTAGAATCGCAATTGTTTTTTTGCTATATTAGTTGTACTAATTAATTGTGAATATTCTCTTTAGATTTCTGAAGTGAAGAAAAATATAGAAACTGTTCAGGGTGTAGATGTCTATCCTGCTGCACAGCAAATGCTTATTCATCAAGGGAAAGTTTTGAAGGACGACACCACCTTGGAGGAAAATAAAGTAGCTGAGAATAGTTTCCTTGTAATTATGCTTTCAAAGGTAAACCTCCATTTATCCCTTTTGCCTTTTGGAAAACTGCATTGGTTTTGAACATACTAGAACTTCCATTGTTGCAAACATGGTTTTTGAACTTTACGAGCTTCTTCTGCTGCACAATTTTTATTATTTTTGAGTTTTGGTTGGTTGGTGTGTGGAATTTTATTCACCAAATGAAATACTAGAATTTGGTGTGGTTGAGATCTATCATAAATTGCAGTTTCCCAGAATTATCAAACCTGGTTGATAGTGGCGCTATCCCGGGAGAGCGGACCGACCGCTATGAAACCGCAGATTGTGGGGCGTTTTTCAACCGTGGCTGCTTTTTGAGCAATCACGGGTCACGAAGCGGAGCGGCTTACTGGCCCAACTTTATTTTTGCGAAATCCCCAAAATATCCTTAACTTTTTGTTCATTTGCCCTAAATTTCATTTCCTCTTTTGCGTTCAACTCTGTTCTTTTTCTCCTCTCGCGTTCGCATCTGCACTTCTCCTCTCTTGCATTTGATTCCATTCGAAGGGCAAGCCATCGCCGCCGTCTTCGTGCCTTTCTTCTTCTTCCTCTATTCTTCTTTTCTTCTTCATCCTGTGTATATTATCGAATTCTTTTATCTAATTCAATATATTCCTCTGTTTTATTGATAGCGAAGCTATCCAGGGAGAGCAGACCGACCGCTATGAAACCGCAGATCGCGGGGCGTTTTTCAATCGCGGCTGCTTTTTTAGCTATCACGGGTCACGAAGCGGAGCGGCTTCCTGGCCCAACCTGCCTTTTTTTTTTTGCAAAATATCCTTAAATATTTGTTCATTTGCCCTAAATTTCTTTTCCTCTCTCGCATTCGCCTCTGCACTTCTCCTCTCTCGCATTCGCCTCTGCACTTCTCTCTCATTCGCCTCTGCACTTCTCCTCTTTTGCATTTGATTCCATTTGAAGGGCAAGCCATTGCCGCCGTCTTCGTGCCTTTCTTCTTCTTCCTCTATTCTTCTTTTCTTCTTCATCCTGTATAAGTTATCTAATTCTTTTATCTAAATCAATATATTCCTCTGTTTTATTGTCAGCTTCAGCATCTGTTTCTTTAAATTAATGCAAGGTTGCTGCTTTGTTTGAAGAAGAAGAATAATAGTTTGAGTTTTTATTCTTATTATAATATCACTCTATGATTGAATTTTGAAATGTGATGCTTTGATTAAATTTAAGACTTGTTAATGTTTAATTAAGAATTTTTTCTAAACCTTCTGTTTTGATAGTTTGATTTATGAATCTTTTATGAGTATTATTGTATTATTGAGTTATGTGTCTGATTTATTTTTAGTTATTATTTATTTAATTTTTTTAAAAAAATAAATAGCGGTTATCCTGCTATCCTGCTATCCCGCTATCCCATTTTTGGGGTCGGCCGCTCCGGTCTGATGTTCGGGATTGATAACTCTGGTTTCCCCCATGACCTATGGGTATGTGGTTTTCTTTATTTATACATGATTGGATGATGAGACCCCATTGTGCATAGTTAGAATTCATCCAGTGTAATATAACTTTAAGTTGATTATGTTGCAACCTAAATCAATGAGATATCATTATTACCTTTTCAATCTCAATACTTATTAAATTCATTTATTCAGTACTAAACTAAAAATATTTTCTTAAAATGTGGCAGAATAAGACTAAATCTGGTGAAGGGTCTACTGCTTCAAATACTCCTCCAGCAAAGGTGAGTTAAGATTCTTCACCTTATCATCATTATTATATTATACTTTCTGCGTTATTGTAAGAAGGATAATCCAGCATCTGAAAACAGTATCTAACAATCATCTATTCACTGCAGGCCCCACTGACGAGTTCTGCTCCTACTTCAACCCCCACAGTGTCTGTATCACCTCAAGTTCCCGCCGCAGTTGCCACACAGTGAGTGACTTGTTTTACATGACATTTTCTTTAGCTGTTTAGATAAGTTTGTTTCAACTATCTATACATATTGTGTTTTATGTAAACTCTGAAGCTTCATTTCAACATGACAGGCCTGCATCTGTTGCTGCACCTTCTCCAGCTCCAGCTCCTACTCCTGCTCCTATATCTTCAGCCACTGCTACGTAAGTATTCTGATTTTGGAATTTGGTCTTTATAGTTCCTGTAATTTTGTACATTGAAAGTGGAAATTCTACAAATATCTTGATTCTTCCATTAAACTTAAAAAAAATGTTTTCAAGCAGGGAAGGTTCTGATGTCTATGGGCAGGCGGCATCCAATCTGGTTGCTGGTAGCAACTTGGAGGAAATAGTTCAGCAAATCCTAGACATGGGTGGAGGAAGCTGGGATAGGGATACTGTTATTCGTGCTCTTCGAGCTGCCTTCAACAACCCCGAGAGAGCTGTTGAATATTTGTATACAGTAAGTAGAGTTTAGATGTTGAGTGTCTTAGTATTAGTATCTTGCTATATATTTCAGTTACCAGTTTAGGATTCCTGTTATTTCTTGCTATATATTTCAGTTACCAGTGTAGGATTCCTATTACTTCTTGATGATACTTACATATTTTGCAAAGGTTGTTGAGTCTTGTATGCTATTAAAAATATAATTCATAATTTAGGGTATCCCTGAACAAGCTGAAGTTCCAGCAGTATCCCAAGTGCCTGCAATTGCGCAGCCTGCCAATCCTGCAGCTGCAGCTGCAGCTCCACAAGCAGCACAGCCTGCTCCTGTTACATCAAGTGGGCCTAATGCTAATCCTCTAGACCTCTTTCCACAGGTAGCAATTGCTGTTTTTAAAACTAAAAGGTGAATTTTCTTTAGGGTGGTATACTTAACTCTATGTTACAGGGCCTCCCAAATATTGGTGCTGGTGCTGCCGGTGCTGGCTCTCTGGATTTTCTACGCAACAGTCAGCAAGTATTATTTTCCTCCCTCTGTTGGCATTTGCTCTGAATTTATTATTTTATAGGTATGGTCTAAATAGGTTAATCTTATTTTTTCATTTTCATTTCAGTTCCAAGCTCTGCGAGCCATGGTGCAGGCAAACCCACAAATATTGCAGGTTTTTCTTCTTCACCTTAGTAGCAGCATATTATATCCTATATTCTCTTGTGGATTCCCCTGATTCTTGTTATTGCTGCAGCCCATGCTACAAGAACTTGGCAAACAAAATCCTCATCTTATGAGATTGATTCGAGATCATCAGGCTGACTTTCTTCGCCTGATTAACGAACCCATGGAAGGTGCCGAAGGGTGAGAGTTATCTATTAATGCTCTTTACAAATTCATTTTTGATTGTTTCTGTAGATAGGAGTGGATGATCTTATTATCCTTTTTACATGTTAATATATGTCCATTGGCTTACTTTTTGGCTTTCGATATCCTTTAGGAACCTAATGGGACAAATGGCTGGTGGCATGCCACAAGCAGTAACAGTCACACCCGAGGAGCGCCAAGCTATTGAACGCGTAAGTTTGACTTCTTCACTATAAAACCTACACATGTTGATCAAGTTTTGTCAAGATTAATGGTATTCTTACAATTAGCATTACACATTTCTGCAAATGTTGATATTTCTTTTCTGTTGCAGCTTGAAGCAATGGGTTTCGACCGTGCTATAGTATTGGAGGTGTACTTCGCCTGTAACAAAAACGAAGAATTGGCGGCCAACTACCTTTTAGACCACATGCATGAGTTTGACGAACAATGATCTCCTTTCCAATAATTTCCAAATTATTTTTCGTTATCTTTTCTCTCGAGGGACCTTTTTTAAATTTTTATACTTGGTGTTTAATGAGGTATCGCTTTATAAAAGACAATTTCAAGTTGACTTTGGACAAAGGATGATTTTACCTTCTCATTGCCGCCCTTATTTTTATCATTTTCTCCCCATCGAGGGATCCTCATATACATAGTCGTTGGCTTAGCTTCTCTATTATTGGTTTTGTGCATCCTTTCTCTATGAGTGCCCTGTATGGATAAATTGTTTATTTTCATAAGCTATTCTAGTGAACTTTTAGACGTTTGGTCAAAAGAAAAAATTAAAATTTCATTTCATTTTTCGAAATCATTTAATGTGTTGTATTTGAATTCATTAATATTTGACAGTCTGAATTCCTTAGTTTTGAAATTCATTATAATTAGTTATAATTTGGATTTATTGTTATAGATGCTTACCAAAATAATGTCATGGCTCATTTTGAAATTTGGTTAAGTATGAAAAGATGAGTGAGAGTCGGTTCAGTTAAATTATTCTACAGGTTTTCACGGTTATTGAATTTTTAATTGTTTCAGCTTAATTGTTTAATTATTTTTGTAATTTTTGTAAATTGTTTTTGTTAGATAAATTACATATTGTGATGATTTGTGCTTCAATGTTTTTGTAATATACCTTTTTAAAACTCCTGGTTAGTTTTAGCATGTTATTGAGTGCACATCATAAAAAAAAAAACTAGTTTTTCCTATGATTTATTGACTATAGTCTCACTAATTTTAAGGGGCTACTTTGTACACCCCATGTGGTGTCGGTTGACAGCGGCGAAAAGTTATAAATGTTTAGATTTTAAAAATGTATCTTTAGATGTTTTTTTGTTGTTGCGCGTATTGAGGTATTAGAGATGCATTTGTGGATTAGTTTTTTTTTGCATAAATGGGGCACGTCTTAATTTTAATTACAGAGTCCGCTAACAAAATTATTTGAGTTTAGTCTTGCTAACAAGTGTCTTGTCATAAGATAACAAGTTAAAGAATTAATGTTTAACCGTTTAGAAATTTCTTCTAATAGGTTAAAAAGGTTCCTTGTAGTTAAAGAATTAAAGTTAGAATTTTCTTTTAATAGGTTAAGAAGGCTCCTCATACAAGTTAGAGAATTAAAATGTTAATCTTTTAGAATTTTCTTCTAATAGGTTAAGAAGACTCCTCTTAATTTGTCAGGAAGTCGTTTAATCAGTTAAGGAACAAATTTACTTAGAGTTTTTTTTCCTAGTCCAATCGATTAAACTATGTGTATTTTCTTACTTTTAAAGCACAAGTTTTTTGAATTATTGACTCTTATATGTCGTTCTTCTTCTTCTGAAATTGATTTTATTCAATAGAAATTGCCTTAGTGTCGAGAAAATGAAAATTTTAATTTGGGAGTTGTGTATTTTTATCCTTGTGTTGAATTTATTCATTCAAGAGCTTAGTTCTCTTCTGCGTTTTTATATAACTTGAATGTTGCAAGTTAAAATTGTAAGAGTTTGGTGTAAAGGAGGTTGTTGGGTTGAACCTAATAGCTCAAATGTTGATAATGAAAACTTCAAGAAAAAATTCTTAGGAATTGAAGTAGGTCACATGATTTAAGGCTGAATTAGGATAATTTTTAGTGTGAACTCTTTAAAATATATATACTTGTACCCTCTTCTTAAAACAAATCAATTTAAAATTAACCATTTAAAAAAAAGATTTTGAAAAAATTAACCATTTAAAAAAAAAGATTTTGAAAAACAAATATCATAGTTCACTCCCTCTCTCGTAAAGTGTTTACAGTCGCTTGTTCAAAAATCATCTGATCTCTAATTATCACAACTCAGAAGTATCCACCAAAGATAATATTTTGTGTTTATCTGTTGCTTTTTGCTTGTAATTTTCCTATAAGGAGCAAGTCGCTGTCAATAATTCTTGCGAAAAAACTTGGATGCAACTGTGGAAAAAGGTAAAAGAGGTTGATTCTTCTGAAAATACACCCTAGACGTCAACTTCGTAGACTTTGATACATGTTTAGAAGCAGCCACGTCTGAGGATAAATACGACTCAGAGAAACCTCTCCTCAAAGCTAGAATAAAAATCGTGAGGCTGGTCCATGATAAATTTTTTATATCTATCCAACTTAATAAACACCTGATATAAACAATAAAAATTTGAGCTAATCTCCCCATTTCCATGGAAGCGAAACTTGCTAAATGTCTAAAAGTCAATTATGATCTAATCGTTATTTTCCTTAAAGAGACGACAACCATCGATCCCAGTGATGCTATCACTAGGTGAATATCGACCATTCTTTTAGATATGTCACTCAGAGAAGACAACGCCAATCATCGAAGAAGGCTAGAGCTATTAGGAATACCATCTACGAACTCCTCTAAGCAAGCTTCATCTCAAACCTAAAGTATATTGGATGACTTTCTAACATAGTGTTTATGAAGAAAGAATATGGAAAATGGATCATGTGCTTTAATTACACCAACCTCAACTTAACATGTCCCATAGATTCATACCATCTACCTATCATTGACAAATCAGTGGACAACTCTGCAGCATACAAATTAGTGGACAACTATGTAGGATACAACTAGATTCTCATGCACGAGAAAGACAAAGACAAGGCCACCTTCATAACATAACACCAATTAAAGGTACAATGTGATGTTCTTTTGTTTGAAAAATACAGGTGCAACATACCAGAGGACTATTAATAAAATATTCGAGGAAGAAATTATAGATATACTAGAAGTGTACATGAATGACACGGTAGTCGAATTCAATGGAGATATGTTACATGAAGGACACCTCACTAGTGTATTAAATCATGTTTGACAATAAAATATGAGACTCAATATAGATAAGTATACTTTTAAAGTCAAAGCCGGTAGATTTTTGGAATTCTTCCTTACAGAGATGGTAATCAAAGCCATCCTGAATAAATGTCTTGTGATCTTTGTTGGAAATTCACCTTACACCCTATGAAGAATTCCCTTCAATCTTGATCTCAAGATTGATGAACAAACCCACAATATGATAGTAATGGTAATAACAAGTAATTATCAAGAACAACAAAAGAGAAGAAGAATAACAAACAAGAAAGAGAAGAATGAGAGAAGAAATATTTGGAGAGAATGTGTTACCCACAACTGTGGGATTTCTTATTGCTTATAGAACTTTCACTTGCTAAACACTGCAACTGTGAAATCTGTTCTATGTTGTGTTTGAATACAAAGCAAGGCACCCTATTTATAGTTTTAGCTTTACAAAAGCCCAAAACATAAAAAGCCCAAAATATTCAAATCAAATCTAATCATATCAAATCAAATTTGTTTACACTATGAATTATATTTAACACACCGCCTAATTCATTGTGTCTAAACTCTCTACATTCATCATGGCTCTTAGTCTTCTGAAGGCTTCGACCTGTACTCCCTTCGTCATGATATCTGCAATCTGATTCTCAGTTCTGCAGTGTTCCAACTTCATCTTCCCTTCTGCTACCTGCTCTCGAAGATAATGGAACCTCATTTCGATATGCTTGCTTCGACCATGAGCTATTGGATTCTTCGCCAAGTTGATAGCTGACATGCTGTCTATCCTCATGGTAATTGCTCCATGATTCTTCCCTATGATTTCTTCGACCAAGTTCACCATCCAAGTTGCTTGACATGCACAAAGAGAAGCAGTTATATACTCTGCTTCGCATGATGACAATGCCATTACTGGTTCCTTTCTCGAATTCCAAGCAACTGGTGCACCATCTAACATAAACACATAACCAACTGTAGATTTTCGATCCTCAGCATCACTAAACCAACTGGAGTCTGTGTATCCCACTAACTTGCATTCTTTTCCTTCATCTGCTGCTGGAAATAAAATACCATAGTCGAGAGTTCCTTTCAGATACCTCAGTATCCTCTTCGCCGCTGCTAGGTGTGATACCTTTGGCTTCTGCATGAATCTACTTACCATACCAACATTGTATGCTAAGTCAGGCCTTGTGTAACAAAGGTATCTAAGTGACCCAATAAGTCTTCTGTATTGGATTGGGTCGACATCATCTTCATTTGAATCCTTCGACAGTTGCAATCTGGGCTCAACTGGAGTCGAAGTTTGGTTGCAATCTTGCATCTCAAATCTCTTGAGTATTTCGCCTGCATATCTTCTTTGGTGCATCATCAAACCTCTACTTGTCTTGTAGAATTAGATGCTAAGGAAATATGAGATTTCCCAAGTCTGACATTTCAAACTCCTCACTCAGGTCATGTTTGAAATCTTCGATCTCCTTCTTGCAACTCCCTGTTATCAACAAATCATCAATATAGAGACATAGTATAAGCAATTCGCCATTGCTTCTTCTTACATATACTCCATGCTCAGTTGTACACTTCACAAATTCCTTCTCCCTTAAGAAGCTGTCGATTTTCTTATTCCAAGCTCTTGGAGCTTACTTAAGTCCATACAGAGCTCTATGAAGCCTGTACACCTTTCTTTCTTCGCCTTGTTTCATAAACCTAGCTGGTTGTGCAACATAAACTTCTTCGTCTAAGGGGCCATTAAGGAATGCACACTTCATGTCCATCTGACATGTGTGCCAGTTATTCATATTTGCTAGACCAACAACCAACCTGATTGTTTTGATTCTAGCAACAGGTGAGAATACTTCATCGAAGTTGATTCCTTCCTTCTGAAGAAATCCTTTTGCCACAAGTCTCGCCTTGTGTCGAGTTACTTCTCCTTTAGGATTTACCTTTACCTTGTAAACCCATTTCACATCAATTGTCTTCTTACCTTGCGGCAATTCAACAAGTGACCAGGTATCATTGACTTCGATGGACTCCAACTCTTCAATCATTGCTTTCATCCACTTCGAATCTTTCAATGCCTCAGCTGCATTGACCGGTTCGACATCTGCATAGAAAGCATAATGTACCAACTCACCCTCTTCACCGACTACATCATCTGATG